TTTGACAGATAACTGGGATTGGGAATATTAGATTACCAAATAATGGACCTTTTAAATTCTGTCATCATTACTTATCAGGTACATTAGTTTAAAACCTGCAATTTTGAACTTAGCATTATTGAGCTTTTGAAAGATTAAATTACTGCGCTTTTGTTTGTGAATGGCTCTGTGAAATTTCCTGAAAAGGATAGTCCTCGTCCTTCATTGTGTCAATGTGAATGCCAAATAACATACTTTATTGATATTTACAGACATACAAATGATAGGACTAATGCACCTTAATGTCTGTCTCCCCGAGTGAAAAGGCAGAGCACTGTTAGATAATATGGTTCACTGTTCTCTTTTGTAAACCCACTTGGAAGAGTTGGTTTTTACCCCTCCCTTCTCTTCCTGAAAACCTTATTTGCACAAGTAGCTTCTCATAGACAGGTTTGCAGCACAGGCCTCCTTCTAAGGGTCACTTTTTTTTACTCATTAGGTAGATTAAATAATATATAACTTAAGTTACAGAGGTAGCTTGCATGTGTTGGTTGGCAAGAGAGCCACATCCAATACATTAAAAAATTAGATGTTTATAAGCACATCCACAACTGCATTAGATAGGGAGGATAAAGTCCCACATTTGTGTCCTGGACATGGCAACCTGTGACCTTCCTCTTCCTCACACCGAACTGTGACACTGAGTCTTCAAGGTAGGATTTTCAGAGCTGAATAAGGAAATTATTCTCACAAATCCCTTAGACATATAATGCAAATTTTGGGTGTTTTCCTTATACCAACACCTTTGAAAACTCCCACTGAGTTTCTCAAAGTTGTTTATTGAGAGCAAGACTTTTTATTTTTCAAACTTTTTCAACTTTTTCAGAAGTCAATGGAGCAGTGACCCAACAAATATGAAGAGTGATAAGAGTGACAGCAATGAAATGCAAAAGGAATGTTTGTGAGAATATATGTTTCTTTAATGAGGTAGGAGGTAGGTTCAAATTATGCTCATAAAACAAAATCAGAGAAACAGAAAAGATGTACTGTAAATATCCCTGACTCTGCATTAGACCCTAAATGTAGGTACCGCCTGTGCCTAAACAGCTCAAAACACTTGGAAACAGTTTAAAATACATTTTGTTTTGCTTGTTCAGCTTTTATGGGGTTTTTCTGTGTTTTTTTTTTAAGTTACCATGTTTTTTCATGCCTCTGAGATAAAACCTGTTATAATCACGAGCCAGACTTCAAATAGATGAGTGTTCTGTATGTGTTAAAAGAAAGAAAATTATTTCAAAAACAAAGTCTCTTCTTCTGAATGATGCTTTCTTCCTTTTTCCCTCACAAATGAAATATACTTTCAATTCAGATGCAAAGAACTGGACATCTATTCAACACATCAATTCAGTTAACAGTGAGAAGCATAATCTAGCTACACTATTCATGAATTGCTTATCAGGTCAAGTTTAAAAGCCTCCAAACTCTTGTATGTTCTTAGGTGTCTTTGTTACACTTGGATACTTGTAAGACTCACAAAAAATCACACAATCATCAAAAAAAGCAATGGAGCTACTCATCAAAAATGAGTTTCATTCTCTCCTCAAAATGGTATTACTCTTGTTAACACTCACTGAGAGGGGGAAAGATCAAGATAACATACTTGTACTTATTTTTAATTTAGAGCAATTATGTTGAATATCACCTAAATTGCTCCAGGTACAATTTGTGCCACATAACAAAGACATTATTTTCTATAGATTTAAGCTGCTTTGGCTGTTTATTTGACTCCTAAACCATTGACTGTACATCACTCTGTACTGGTGAATTTTAAAATGTACCATCCACCTTCTAGTGGAAGATGTCCCTGCCTATGACAGGGGGTTGGAACTAAATGTTCTTTAAGATCTCCTCCAACCAAAACCATTCTATGAGTCTATGGAAAGATAATAAGGATATGCAAACAAAGGAAAAAATAATCAAGGCAAAATGAGTTTACTGACTCATCAGCCCCATATGAACAAAGCTATGGACAAGAAGAACACTTCAATATGAGGTTGGAGATGTGAGAGCATCATCTTTCTGTGTGACATGAGGGTTATGGGTGCTTTACCATTTTTGTGCAACATGAAACAAGTCAATATGGTTCATTCCAGCCAAGGCTAATATCTGCTTTTGTATTTGGGGAGTAATGTGACTTGGAGACCCACAAATGCTTTTTCTTGCCTGTACAAGCTCTTTTCATTATGCTAAAAGCTCATTACCATTTCAATTTTTAAATCATGATTCTCATTAATTGCTACTGAAAAAAAAAAGGCTCCAGGTTTGAGCTGAGTGTGCTGCCAGAGCTTGCATGAGCATCCAAACTTTTTCCCAAAGTGTATGGGAAAGTACTCAATGGCTCAGCAGATGAATATACTGGACTATCCAGACCCCCAAGGCAAAGGGTGATAAAACTGCTTCCTCCTTGAGCAATTGTTCATGAGGATCTTTTCACCTTCCTTTAAAGACAGGGATAGAAATGGATCCTCAGATCCATGGCAAGATTGTAAGATTTTGAGGGATATGGTTCAGGGGTGATTATGATGGTGGACTACTTGATCTTGAAAGTCTCCTTCCCCTTCAATGATTCTGTGATCAATTGATTGAAACCAGTTTTCTCTGGTGTTCTCCTAGGAGGGATGAGGGATAAGGTCTTGGTCCCACTGGTGGGAAATGTCTTCAACTCACAAGCAAGCAAAACTGTTGGAAATGAAGCCTTTTCTCTTGAGGATGAATGTGAAAATACACACATGAAAACATACAAACTCCTTGACAGAATCTCATCTGAATGCACAGGAACCTGTTTAAAGAGCACGTGAAACTTCTTCCATCCCAAACAGTTTTCAGGCATTTCAAGCCATATTCTGTGGACATGTACAATGGACATGTACAATGCCACAAACACCTACTGCCCCTCACACAGGGTAAAGGACAAGAGCATCTCCTACCCAGTGGAATTTCACAATACTCCAGTGAAAACAATGGGAAAGTAAGGAAATCCAGCTTTTCCCTGCTGCCCCTCCTTCCACATCCTCCCTTCTGCTCCTCTAAACCTTTAAATACAGAACTGATGAAATGAAGTTTTAAGCTGAGCTCAGCTGCACACTGGCCTTGCTATGCCCAGCAGCAAAAGCCTTTGGCTGAAGGCAGAATGTGTTCTGTGGCATGCTGGGCACCTCACAGGAACAGCACTGCTGCTGGAGTGATGTGTGAGGCACCAGCAATGTTATTTATGCCTATTAATGGAGAGCCTTTCAGATAATGACCGACAAATGTGCTCTAGTTTAGGACACAGAACAGAAAGATTACATACTAATGGCAACAGCCAGGAAAGAAACATGATAGGCAGGGACAAAGAAGAGCAAACAAGAGAGACAGAATTTGAAAATGGCAAAGATGCAAGCAAATATTTGTGCAGGCTAGCTAATGTCAACCTACCCTGCAGTGCCTGGGGCGTGTGGCCCTTGAGAAGGACCCTGAGCTCCATCCTGGCTGTCTCTCAAGGCTTATCCAGCTAGAAAACACCCCAGCACTTCGGGGAAGAGGAGATATTTCTCAGACATGGGTTAGAGTGGAGTTCTCAAAGAGATACTTGAGACACTTGAGATTGTTAAGCACAAAAAGTTAAAAAAAGCTGGTGGGGTGCTGGGCCTGACAGAAGCCTCTGTGGTGAATTTTGAGGGAGCAGCAATGCTGATACACATTCTCTGAGGTGTTTGTATTTTGTTAGATGTAGAACTAAAGTCCAGAACTAAACAGAAATATTCCACTTGGAAAAATAAAATTTAAGTAAGTTCAGGCCCCAAATGTGTGTATTGAAAGCTCAGGTAAATGTGGAGGCAAAGTAGAGCAAACGTTATTGGAAGACAAGATGCAAATTAGAGTCTAATCTCCCTGCAGTGATCAGCACACTCACTTTATCTGGTTTCCATCTGTCATCTGAGCTGCAAGTTTACAGGCAATGTACTCTCTGTCCTAAAATCTACATCCCCGATAAGGCATTGGGTTTTCTGCAGTGGAGAGTCTCCTCCATGGGGATAACCAGGTTTTTTATTTGGGGAAAAAGGTAAGGGAAGTCACAAACATGCTAGAAAACAGAAAGCTTTTCTGTTTGTTTTCACTTTCAAAAAACCATCACATTTGCAAAGTTTTCTCCTGGAATGGGAATAAAATTTCTGAGTTCAGAAAATACATTTAGACTAAACAGAAATTTTTTTTTCAGGTGATGATGAAGGGTAATATGAATGGAGCTAAATGGAACTAAAAAGGCCATTAGATCAACAGACTTTTCCCAATAGTTTTCCTCTAAATTATTTTACTAATAGCTCACATAACTCACTGTTAAAGAGTTGACTGTATTATTAAATAAAAAAATTAAAAACACAGATGAGGGTGCTGTGCTGGACAGAAGTCTCTGTGGTGAGTGTTGAGGAAGCAGAAATGTTGACATTTCTCAGTACTGTTCTGGAGTGAATTTCAAAGGCTTTTCCTCCTTTTACATCAGATCTAATTTCAACACAAAAACTGTTCTATGCTTGCAAGAAAGCACCAGGAGTAGCAAACCTGAAACCAGTCTGCACATGACATGAGACACAAAGACATGAATTCCTGCTGCCTACACTGTGGATAACAGGGTTTCTACCCAACTGCACCTGCTGGGTCACCCCACAGGCTGGGGAAAGGCAGAAGTGTTTTGAATCAAACCTGTGTAACCCCTAAACTCTGCATGGAATCCATGTGGCTTTGTGACTGCCAGCTGAGACTGACTATAGCCAACTTGGGTATTAGCTTATTTAAAAAGTTGAATTTATCCATCTGTAAAATTTACAGATCTTTTTATTTATGTATATATAATTCTGTAAAAAGAAATAAATACTTCTGAGACACAGACCCTTTGCCCCTGAAGACAAATGTGAACTCCCTCCAAGTAAATCTGCTGCTGCTTTTTGCCCACTTATTAAACTGGTTTAAAAAAAAAAAAAAGTAGAAAACCAGAGTGCCAAAAACTTGCATAAAACTGATTAAAACTTGTAAGCCCTATGTGCACCAGGTGTGAAATCTAGATGCAATGTGCCTTATGTTACCACCTGTGCTCATCTTATTCCGGCCAAAAAAATATCCTGTGCAGGTGTACAGGAGGAGGAGGAGGAGGAGGAGGAGGAGGAAGGTAACGGTGCTTCAGAGCCAGGGGGGAAAGGGGCAGCTTTGGCTGAGGCTTTCCCAGCAAGGCTGCAGTCAGAGAGCACTCAGCTGCACAGCAGAGGGTGGCCAGCTCTGTGTGCACAGATCTCTGCAGATGTGGACACCAAGGAAATGCTTTTTGCCAGCTCAGTGTCTCCCTGTGCTGCTGCTGCTCCATCTGCACGTGGTGGCACGTGCCACCTGCAGGATTTCCTGTGATTAATAAAAGGATCAATTAGACAGAGTCTTTCAGAGTTATCATAATCACCACATTTATGGGCTGATCCTGACATTTCTTTTTCTTTCCACTTTTCTCCTTTCTGCTGCAGAAGTAGCTGAAGAATCCTGATGAGATGGGAATGACAGTAATTAAAGCCTTACCTGCACCCAGTGGGTAAAGTTCAAACCCAAATGAGAGGGGTTTGGATAGAGAAGGAATGAATTTCATTGGTGATCCTGGTTTCTCAGTTTCTATGGAGCACCAGGTCCACCAGGGAAGTGCTGCTTGCTCCATGAATACCTGGTGTTTCTTCTGCATCATCCCAAAATTCATTAAAACTATGGATGAGACTTCAGAAGACTTTTCTTGGACCTGCTGCATTATTTCCTGTGTAGGAAACGTGTCATTTACATCCCTCTCATTCAGCTGAGAGAGGTTCTGAGCAACACTTCCCCACAGTGACCTGCATCCCTCCTCTGCAGCTTTGGGAAGGTGGGGCATCCAAGGCAGGGGGAGAGACACACTTGGAGCATTTGCAAGACTTTGTTATTCAAAACACAGTTTGAAAATGGCTCTAGGAATTTAATTAGAAACTTCCATTAGGAGATTAGATGACTAGAACAAAGAAAACCAGTGAAAAGGCTTCTTATTAAAACCAGTAGCACTGCAGAATATTGATAATATAACAAAGGAATGAGTGGATATGCATAGCAAATTATTAAAGGTTACAGATAAATGTCCAAAAGTTGCTTAGTTTCTGGTTATCCCAGTATATACAGAAGCCACTGAGACAAGATGACATATGGTCCCTGTCCCTGCAGAACTCAGGGGCTGAGGAAAGCCAGAGGTATTTGAGCACAAAGCTCAGCAGTGCTGGGTGTTACCTGTTTGCATCTTTTCAGCTCTAGTGTGTAAATGAAGCATGAACAAACACACACAAGTCCACAGGTTGCAGCAAGGATTTTAGCCCCAGAGATCAGTAAATGTAAACTCCTCTGATAAAGAATCATGCCTGGACAAAGGTGAGTTTATGCCTGGAAAAGGACTGGAGCAAGAAGAGTCTCACAGTGCTGTGACACTGCAGAATCCCTAAATACCATCACTGGGCAATGTCAGCTCAGATGAGTCCAAGTCCTAGAAATTTCAGCCAAGAGAACTCTCTGGGAAGAATCCTTGGGCTGGGAATAAAAAAAAAATCAATAAAATACTTAAGATCAAACCTGGATATAATTTGAATAAGTTCACCTTTCTAGGACTCAGATGAGTTGTTGCCTTTTGTGGTAAATACTTAGAGTTTACTCACAACAGTTCTGCTGTTTCCATCCAAGACTGGTTCATGTTCACAGTAACCATTCAACCACAAGTTCCTGTGGTTCTGCCCTCTACAACCATCTGATCTGTGCCCAGTTTTATAGTTTATACAACTCAGAGTCCAGTCCTATTTAAATCAGTCTTTATGATACAGACTGGCCCACTTTTGAATCCACACTTCAGATTTTCAAGACTCAGCCAAGAGCAGTCAACGTGTTTGTAGCATGTATGGAACAAATGTCTGGGGTGCAAAGCATCTTCCTTTTCAAATCCTCAGTGCCAGATTTTCCCACCCTTTAAGTGCTGGTGATGTCTGCACAACAATGCAATCCTGAGCTTGCCCAGGGCCCCTCACCATGTTGATGTAGGTGTGTTGCTGTCAGTACCCCAGTTAGGTCATGCAGAGTTTGATCAGATATATTTGAGTGATACTTCAGAAAATATAGTGATGAACTGTAATTTTCAATAATGTCTTGCTTACCAACTGTATCCAGAGTCCATTTCTATGAGCACTGATAAATATGCACTCTATTGCTCCTTGGGAAAAAAACCCTTTAAGTAATCAAGACAAAACCAGTTCATCATTAGCCACACACTGCCTGTCTCAGCCCTTAGCCTTCCCAGAACCAAAGACCCTCCCATCTTTCCCCCATTCCAGCAGACTCCAGTGATCCAGCACCAACTGCCTTGTGTAACTGGCACACAAAGATTTACAGGGACAAGTTTCCTCTTTGTTAACACAAGACAGAATTTTAGTGGTTACCAGTTACTAAAAGGTTAATAAATTTGAATATTTCCAAGAAAAAGTAAGGGTATTAGAAGATGAACAGATAGCTAGATGGATGACTGTAAAATACTAGAAAATTGCTGATTGCTTTGCTAAAGGGCAGAGGCAAATTACAATCATTGTCTTTTGTTCTTGTGAACCCAAGGCTTTTTTTTTTTTTTTTTGTAGTCAAGTTATTTTAAAATGAACCATACAAGAAACTGTGGTGTCCTAGGAAAAAGGGAATATTACCCAGGACATTTAAATGGGTCAAGAAACCAACCTGAAACAATGCTGAAACACCCCAATATGTTTGTGCATTTCACAGGTTTCCCAGAGTCTGGAAAAATGCTAGAAGACATGTCTTTTTAGCAGTATTGCAGTATCTTAAGGTCAATGATATGGTGAACACAAGCTTCCTCCCTTTGAACACAGAAAGGGAATTGCACAGCTACTGCAAGACAGAACCTTGTCTAGTTCAGTAGTACAAAGATTAAAAATCAACTCTTGTACGGTACTTGCTGGTAAAACTAGAAGGGATTACCTGCTTAGAAAAGCAAGGAATAAGGAGGAGAAGTATGTAATGGTGGCAGAACAGCTCGAAAAGAGATCCTGTTTGGTACTTATAATGTTTCCATAATAATTATTACTGTCCTGCTGAAGCAAACCAACCCCTCAAATCCAACCACCACAAGCTCTCCACCTTTTCAAAAGCCTGTGATGGCTCCCTAAAAAAATCTTTTGGTTGTACTGTGACTATTCCTGTCAGAAACTTGGAAGGAGAAACAAACTTTATGTCTGAGGAAAATTTCAGCCCCCTCCAGGCTCTGAGGCTGTCACACAGGGAGAGGACAGTCGCCTCAGCTGGATGCCCACAGCAGTTGTTAGTGTCTCATCCTACCAGCAATCTGGACCAGAATACCTTTTTATTTCATTCCACCCTCGTTTTGGCAAGAGGAATGATTGAATCATTGATGACAGTGATCTCATGAAAGAGAACAATAATTCATGGGAGCACCACCCCATTCTGGCTGTGGCTGAGAGCTCCCCTGGTTTGTGAAGCTCAGCAAAGGAAGGTTAACTTTGTCAGGGGCCCTTCCTAAACTCCTGCTCCAGCAGCAGCCTGGCAGCAGCAGTGGGCAGAGCCAGGGCAGCAGCCTGGGAGGGCTCTCCTGGCACCATTCCCAGGGATGACAGTCACTGGCAGCCTGCTCCAGAACCCAGGGGTCACCCTGGAGACAGCTGGAATCAGCAGCTTTGGGCATCTCTCGGGCCCCTTTCTCCTTTAGGCAAGAGTTCCTTGGAACTTCACTCGAAATAACTCTAGTATTCCCCCTACCACACAATATCTGCTTTAAACTTATGTTTATATGGTAATATTTAAATTATAAAGCACTAGCCTTTCACCTTTAGGTTCCTGACTGGATTCAAACCCTCCTCCTGTGGGAAATGAGTTTGGTGGCCTAAGCTGAGTCTCGAGTAGACAAAAGTCCTTATCTCTAAACTCCAAACATAATTCAGCACAACATGGCATGATTGGAAGTCCCTGCTCAGGAAAAGACAAGGAATGAGCTTGTGTCAAAAGTAAATTACCTAAGTAATCAAATCAATACTGAATTCAAAGTGAAAATATCAAAATTATCAGGTGGTGCTGCGGAGGCTACAAAATTGCTGTTTAGCACAATGTTTTCCAGCTATATTCGAAATGAGAAATGTCATTTAGAGCAGATAAACTACAAAAAATGAGGTCAAAGCTGCAAAGAAGCATAAGCTGAGAACCTTAATAAATTAAAAAATTTCCTTGAATAGCACCTTATCTCCCCAGGAAGAACACAGACGGTCTGGAACTGCACATCTTCCCTACTCCCAAGTACAACAACCATGATATTCATCTCAGATACTTTCAAAGATGGCTGAGCATGGGGTAGAAATATCATTTAGAGTTGAGTCCTTAGCAAATTTGATGAGTTTAAAATCGGACATTGCACGTCCAAAATACCTACAGATGAACTATCATATCCTTATGCTAAAAGAAATTCAAGAAAATACAAAAAAGTACAGTTCTACTCTCGGGTTGGAGGGGATAAAAAGGTGTAACAGGCTATGAACCTCCTCACCTGATGATGAAAAAAGCAAAACAAAGTAGATCTTACCCGTGTTGTGATAGTTAAACCACCTCCTGGTCAAGTTAACATGACATTAGATATTCACTCCATCCCTGGGTGCTTGCTTTCCAGTCTCTACCCTTTACTCACCACAAAATGGATGACATTTATGTTTCAGAATGGCATCACTTGTCCAACTTTGAATTACTGATCCTAAAAATATCAGTTATTATTTGAAGGATTGTTTGAGCACTCTATTTTTTTTTTTTTTAAATCAGCATCACTGTTTAGTGCAACGTACACAAGGGGTTGAGTGGGGGAGTGATGGTGGAAAGAAATCAAACCTGGCTTGAAGAGCTCAGAGTTTGCAATACCCTGCCCATACAAACAAGCTTCTATCGCAGTTATAGACAGCAGAAATAAAAGGGAGCTTTTTGGCTCACAGCTATAAAAAAAAAATTATCATAGTGATGAAGTTCCTCAGCCATCAACAGAGCTGTGATAACGCTGTTTGATGATGATTTTCCCATGAATGTTAAACAGCCGCCACTGCGGAGGAAAAGGAGCTTATCTGCACCTAATACTGATCTCTAATTCCTGCCCTTCTTGAACCATCCATTTTCTAACAGCATTAACTGGCAAATTTACATCCCATCTTAATGCTGCTAAAGAGGACAGGAGATGAAGAGTAAATGACAGCAGTGTAATGAGGATGGCTTTTTTCTCCTTTCTCTTTAATGGCTGAAGATTTACACAATTGTCTGTAAGCTTATATAGAGAGCTTACCTGAACCTTTTGCCAGCATGGATTC